GGAATTATATGACAATATATGATTATCATTATCATGACATTGGTGTAGGAAATGTCTGATAATTCCATGGAATCTCAGATGCAAACACATTTTACATTTATAAAATGTAAAATTAGGTTGTCTGGAATTATTATGAATATTGATTGTGATTTATATTCACTGTAAGATTAACAATAGAAATTTTAATGTTGGCCTATGCCACTTTTGGCCCCGTCCAATCAGAAAAATGTATTTTGATGACGTCATGGAAAATATAAAAAGTTTTCCACAGTTCTTTTGTCCCAAACCTCCTTAAACATTTCAAAATTAATTTGTAATTTCACTGTTCCCTGGTATTACAATGAAAACTGACATCGTCCAATCAGAAAACAGTACAAAAATGACGTCACATAGATTTGAAAATGCTTTTATTGAATTTTACGGGTATGAAAACCTCTAGATAAGTCTTGTATTCGCTCAGATTAGCTTCTGTAATGAGTAATTAATTTTGGCACACTTTGACTTCAATCTGGCCCACTGTGCAGCGGTGGCCTACAGAACGGTTGCATCGGTCGGTTAAGCGGATACAAACAAAAAATATAGGGAGGCCAAGCTATCTATATTCTTTGATACAAATCAAAACGAATTCTGGGGCGGGTGCGTGAGAGTCCACACCATCTCAGCCCCACTATGGTTGGGATTGGGGTCCGAAAATTGTGTGGACCTCAAGGTGCCGGCGGAAATTGCACTCTCAGACTCTACTTTGAAATAACTTTGTTCATCATATAGGCCTATCATCAACAATACAATACAACAATTATTTTTTTAATACAATTTAAGTGGTGCCTCTATAATATAGGCGTGGGCCTATATATATACCGGTATATAACTAGAAATTGCAAGTGAAGTGCTGCGAAGTACAACTGCATTATAAATGTTCTTCGAACAAAATTATTTATGCGAGTCAAGTGAAAATAATGAATAATAAAAATATAACAAATAATATGAGACACGACCCATTGTCTATAATTAGAATACTTCTCATTGGGTAACAATGTCGTAATTTTTCATTTTTGTCAAAAAGTGTCTATAGTGGTGAATTATGGTTTAGGTTTTTTTAAATAAAGTTTCAAAAATGTATGTGGAGAATGTAGTTGATTACCAAAGGTTACAATTTTTATTTTGAAGACTGCATGGTCTAGGAAGTGTACATTTTTTTATCGCCGTGGCTAGAGATACGGTACCGTATTTCTACTTCAATTTGCTAAAGGTACGGTAAATGGCATTACGTCACCATCACCCAATGAAGTGCCAGAATGTGTGTGACGTCATTTTTCAAGACTAGCATTATTGCAGATCACCCGCAATGAGCGGTGAAACGAGAATGATGTACAGTTGGGAAACTAGAACATCAAAAAGTGTAATATTGTTTGACTTAGTACTGTTATCGATAAATAGGCTTATGGTTCCATTTAGTAAAGAGTTTCATTTAGCTAGGCCTATTATGTATAACCATTATCAAACAAGGACTGATTCCACCAAACTCTTGGCATGCCTCTAGGCCTTGCTTAAATTCTTCGCTTGGCGAAAAATATAAGCAAGCCTGCTCGGCCTTGCTTGGATTCTGCTTTTCACGGCAGCTGCTCTGATGACATTGATCTGAGTGGCATAGGCCTATATCAGTCATAAACTTAGCCTAGTTCCTCCGTCATCATACCGTCTGAACTTCATAATCCCTACATCCCAAGGTTTAGTCCAAGAAGTTCGAAATAATACCAAGTACGCTTTACAATCCCACCAAAATATTCATACAATTTGAATGCATGTAGGGCTAGACTTCGTCACTGTTATGGTACAGAATCTAGGCCTAGATCGAGAGAATAAGTTTCCCCTTTGTGATTACAATTGAGTCAAATTTTTCCAATAATTTTGATGCAGACCTTAATACTGTCATAGAAAAATAGGCGTACCACTCAATAATAAAGTCATGTCATTATATAGCCTTATCAAGCAAGGCATCATCCTCAGGACTTAGGCCAAGGCACATGATACACACACTACTGCTAGTCTTTGGTAATCTATTTATATGACAACACTTGCAATAAAAAAATGAATATACTGTAAACAAGAGAATAGTAAAGTCAAACAATATTGTACTTCGATGTTCTAATTTCCCAGTACTGGACAATGACCGTTCTCCTTTCACCGCTCATTTTGCGGGTGATATGCAATAATGCCAGTCTTTAAAAATGACGTCACGTACATTCTGGCATCTCATTGGGTGATGGTGACGTAATGCCATTTACCGTACCTTTAGCAAAACGAAGTAGAAATACGGCGTTTTTCTATGGGGCAAGTTTCCAAGGGCGGGTTTTCTAGGGGCGAGTTGACTGCCAAAGAGTGTTGCCAAAGTGCGAGCCAGCGTGTTATTTGATCACAAGTGCGAGACATCGCAAATGTGAGCCGGCCAGCGAGCCATGACATCACGACAATAGATACGAGACGTTGCTCGAGTTGTGCGAGGTATCGGCTGCAGTGTGACCACTGCTTGGGTATTCCCCAAGATCTTGGGTATTTTGACTTGGTCATGGGTTCTTGGGTATTCCGTTCAAATCCTTGGGTAATTTATTTTTACTAAGACAATTAAATTTTTGTCATAGAGGAAGAATTAAGAAGTAACAAAGTATATTTCAATCCATTCAAGTAAGCAAAAATCAAAGAAGTGCACATAACATTGTTAATTGACTGTTAATTGCTATAAGCATGGGTTCAGAATTGTTTATTTGTGATTTGCGTTGCCATTGATCATACCTAATTAATGCATTACATATTAAAACTTGATCACTGATCTACTGATAACACTGGTCGGCTGAGGGCGTATTTTTCTATCCGTATTATTACCTCATGAATATTCATTTTAATAATTAACACAAACAATTACAATAAAAAATGGTTTATAAATTGAACTAAAAGGGAAACTATACATGCGAAAAACACGGTTTTTTCAAATTTTAATGCATTTTCAGGAAGCTTGGGTAATTTTGGGCAATTTTTGCTAAATCTTGGGTAATTTCGACCCAGTCATTGGGTATATCAAAAATTGTGAGTGGTCACGCTGATCGGCTGAGATTTGTGGAGTACAATTCAAAAAACAACCATAGGTCTAATAATAATGAATTATTGTGATCTTAAATAGACAATGTTAGCTATCAAGGAGCGACGTTGTTTTTCATTGGACCTTCGTCCATTCAAGGCTAGGCCTATACTATCCTAGCTAGTCTAGGGTAGGATAAGGCTAGCGCGACATGCGGACGTTGGTACGAGTAGGTTAGTCTACAAACGTCGCCTAAAGTAATTGATTTTACCCGGCAGAACGAAAGAAGGAAACGCCACTTTTCAGTCGTCTTAGGCCCTTGTTTTTTGACAAACAATGACCTTTCAGAGGTCAAATTGCTGTCAAGAATATGAATTGGCTGCTTCGCAGCAATTATATA